CCGAGAGAATGAAGAAGCAAGGAGAGCTGAGGTGGCGCCATGTTATACACTCTCGAGAGACGCCAGATTCGCTTCTCGGATAGATAGAAACAGAAAGACAACGAGAAACGGAGCATGAACATTGACTGATCGAACTGACATTCTGCACGACGAGGACGATGAGATCTAGAAACTGGACTGAGCTTATCGTCACGACGGGAGAGAACTCACGCATAGCCGAGAGAAGACGGGGAGAAGTTATGAGAGAGCACTGGAGCTATAGACAGAAAGAGAGATGGAAGACTGACATCGAACTTGAGGGGGAGTGATGGAGAGGGGGGAAGAGGGAGAAGAGAAGACAGGAGAAGGGGAAGGAAGAGAGAGGAGGATGGGGGAAACGAAGAAAGGATAGAGGAGGAGGGAGAACGAAGAAGAAGGAAGAAGGGGACGAGAGGGAGCGGAAGAGATTGGAGAGAGTGAAGACAAGAAGGAGGGCGCGAGGGAGGGCTGAGGGGAGGAGCCTCTCTACTGACCGAGGCCGAGAGGCAGAATCATGAGACTTGCAGACGTGTGTAGGAAGCGATCGAGAAGATCGGATTGAGAAGAGAGAAAACAGAATTTCGCGAGAGCGAACTGACAGACTGACAGAGATGACTGAGTGACCTCTCTGGACTACTGTGACAGAGGAGACTGACTTGCTGACTGACAGCATATGGAGAGACGGAGACTGGACTGAACTGACTGAAGAGAGGAGACAGACTGACTGACTGAGGAGAGAAGACGAGGAGACAGACTGACTGACTAGGGAGAGGAGACAGACTGACCTGACTGAGAGAGAAAGATTGAGCTGACTGACTAGAAGCAGAGAGGACTGACTGACTGACTGGAGAGAGAAGAGACTGACTGACTGACTAGAGAGAGACGAGACTGACTGAACTAGGAGGGAGAGAGAGACTGACCTGACTGACTGGAGAGAGACTGACTGGACTGAGCTGAGGAGAGAGAGAGAGACTGATCTGCTGAGGAGAGAGAGCGGAGGACTGACTGACTGGAGACGAGGAGAGAGACCTACTGACTGAGCGGAAGAGAGAGAGACGACTGACTCTGACTGAGAGAGAGGAGAGAGAGGACTGAACTGACTGACTTGACTGAAGAGAGGAGAACTGACTGACTGACTGACTGAGAGAGAGAGACTGGACTGACGGACTCTGACTGAAGAGAGAGAGACTGACTGACTGACTGACTGAGATGCAGAGAGGACTGACTGACTGACGAGAGAGAGACTGAACTGACTAGAGAGAGAGGAGACTGACTGACGAGAGAGAGAGAGACTGACTGACTGACAGAGGAGACCTGATGACTGCACAGAGAGACTTGACTGACTGACAGAGAGAGGAGACTGAACTGACTGACTGAGAGAGGGAGAGACGATGACTGGACGAGAAGAGAGAGACCTGACTGACTGATGAGAGACGGAGACTGACCTGACTGACTGATGAGAGAGAGAGACTGACTGACATGACTGAGAAAGAGGAGACTGGAACTGACTGAGAGAACGAGAGGAGACTGACCTGACTGACTGAGAGAAGAGAGAGACTGACTCTGACTGAGAGAGAGAAGGAGAGAAGAGAGACTGACTGACGAGGAGAGGAGAGAGACTGACTGACTAGACTGACAGAGATGAGAGGAGACTGACTTGACTGGACTGAGAGAGGAGAACTGTGAGACTGACTGACTGACTGAGGAGAGAGAGCAGAGACTGACTGCACTGACTGAGAGGAGAGAAGAGGAGCTGACTGACTGACTGACTGAGAGAGAGCGAGACTGACTGACTGAGAGAAGAGGAGAGACCTGACTGACTGACTTGAGAGAGAAGAGACTACTGACTGACTGACAGAGGGAGGACTGACTGACTGACAGAGAGACTGACTGACTGACGTAGAGAAGGACTGACTGACGACTGAAGAGAAGAGAGAGAGACAGACTGGAACCTGACTGAGAGAGGAGAGAGACAGACTGACTGACTGAAGAAGAGAGACGACTGACTGGACCTGAGAGAGAGAGAGACTACTGGACTGACTGAGAGGAGAGGAGACTGACTGACCTGACCTGAGAGGAGAGAGACTGACTGACTGAGAGAGAGAGACTGACTGACTGAGAGAGACTGACTGAACTGGAACTGAGAGCAGACTGCCCTGACTTGACTCTGAGAGAGACTGACTGACCAGACACAGACAGAGAGAGAACTGACTGACAGAACACAGACAAGACAGAGAGAAGGACTGGACTGACAGACACAGAACAGAGAGAGGAGACGACTGACAGGACACTAGACAGTAGAGGCAGGAGATGACTGACAGACACAGGACAGAGGAGAGAGAGACTGACTGACAGACACCAGACAGAGAGGAGAGACTACGGACTGACAGCACACAGACGAGAGATGGAGAGATGACTGGACAGACACAGACAGAGAGAGAGACTGACTGACAAGACACAGACAGAGAGAGAGACTGACTGGACAGACAGGAGTCCTCCTCTCCTTTCGCACTTCTCTCCATCTCCTCTCCTTCTCCTCCTCCTCCTCTCCTCCTCCTCTTCTCTCCGTCGCTCCTCCTCTTCCTCTCCTCTTTTCCTCTCCTCCTCTCTCCTCCCCTCCTCCTCCTCCCCTCCTCCTCCTCTTCTTCCTCCTCTTCTTCCTCTTCTTCCTCCTCTTCTTCCTCCTCTTCCTCTTCCATTGATCGCTCTCCTTGTGTTGTAGTTGTAAAATCGCTCCAAAATAATTTTGCACTTGAGTAATTTTCTGAAATTCAGAGCCTTGAACCAAAATGAAACCAGCACCATTTGTAAGCACTGAGGAAAAAATTTAAATAAAAAACTTGGGAACTCTTTTAGAAAAAATTATGGGAATGTGTTTGACACTTGTAAAACTCCAAAAAGTTAAAAGATTTTCAATCCCGCTTTTCAATGCAAAGATCAAAGTCGATCATGGTATATGAATTTTGGAGAAAATTGTCTGTATGGCGTTTAGGGGATTGCGGTTTAGGCGCAAGCCATCTCGTGTAAAACTTGTTACCAGTCGTACTTCATGAGGTATGAAAAATAATTCTTTGAAAAATGATTAATCACAAATTTGAAAATCCAAAACTGCCAATTATTCAAAATGAAAAATAATTATATGAACTTATAATAGTTATCATTGGTATTGTATTATAAGTTGACATATAACAAGACTTCAACAAAAAGAAGTGCCAGAAATTCAAGTGTGCAATATTGAAGTATGGAAAAATTACGGGAAGCTCCTAATATTTCAACAAATTGTAAATGTTCATAAAATGTCCATGTAAACCCAATTAATTTCGCATTTTTTAAGTCTGTTTCATTTGATTTCAACTCTGATACTTCTGAACATCTGAATAATTTTAATATATTTTGATAAACACGATTGAAAAGAACTTACTTTTTAGTTTGTTCCAGAACTGCTTGGTGATCTTGAACACCTTGTGCGTTGAGGTCTCATAATCAATTCGACATTATCAACATTGACAAAAATTCATTTACTTATTTTTTATTTTTCTTCATTTTCTATTAAATTTTCTTGATGTTGACTTTGTTTCTTATCGAATTTTTTTTGTTGTCCAAATTTATTCTGACACACCTTTTTGGCTATTTGTATTTTGGGTTAGGAGTGAAACATTTACTCGGAAATACTGCAAATTTTTTTATTTTTGAGTAAATTTCAACATAACAATAACCGAATTCAGAATTTGAATCTTTTTGTGTGCTTAATTTTTGTTTTTTGTATATTTAATTAAATTTCAAACTTTGTTAGATCCACGAAGTTCTATAATCCATGGGAAATGTGTTTGTTAGGTAGAAAAAGCTTTCTTTCCTTCTTTCACGAGAAATCTCAGTTGTCTGTGTTTGGGGAAAAAATGGCATATTTAATATAGATATTATGTAGGTATTTAGTTCGGAAGATATTAGGGATTTAATTAATTCTCTTATCTTTTTTACTTCATTTAATTTAGTCTGTGGAGGTTCTTTTTGCTGATGAAATACTTTTGAATGTTCTTTTATTAATTGATAAAGGCTCAGGATTCTGTTTTGCAAATAAAATTGTAAATACAGTTCAAGTGTTTCCTGTGGATAGTATCAGTTTCTGCTCTTGAAGGCTAATTTCTCTTCATTGTTGGTAGCAGTGGCTCCCATACCTCACCCAACATTGCGGGGTGTCTTCCTCCCTCAACCATTGTACACAACAGCCCCTGCAGCTGTGGCAGTGGGTCTAGTTCCTTCGACAGGTAACAGAATAAGTTTATTGGTTGATCGTTGCTGTTTTTTCAAGCATTTTGTTAATCCTTTCTAATAGTTTGTTTATTTATATCCAATGCATTTGAGAAAAGGATGTATATTTAAATGCTTTTGTACTGTTTGTAAGATTTTCTTTCCGCATGTTTGAAGTAGATGAGAATGTGATTATAGTGCCTCTTCTAATATTTGTGCTGTTTCTGGTTAATAATAATAATAATAATAATAATTATTATTATTATTATGTTGAAGTATTCTAATTTTTTGTAGTACTAACAGCTTTAATTGTATTTCAGTGACCAAATATAAAGTAATTTGCTAATATTGATCTATAGATCAGTGCATTTTATCTTCAGATATGTATTACTGCATTAAAGTTCAGACCTGTTCGTATTCATTGAGTCAACTAGAAATTTCAGGTGTAAAATTTGATCAAAGCTGCCAATTCTATTTAATGGTATCCTGTGGCATTGCAAGAGTTTGTATTGGAAGGTTTGCTCAGAATATTGAATATCATTCAGGAATGATGTTCATAAAAGTGGAAAATTCCTTGTCGAATTCTTGGGTTTGACAGGTTGCTTAAACTGTTTTAGAAATGAATTCTGACAGTTTGTATAAATATCCTTAAATTTTTCTAATTAATGATTCTGTGTGATAAATACTGAAAATGCAAATGCATTGTAAACTGAAGTTGACAACAAAAGAAATTGCAGTTTTGCACTACAAACTAGAGAAATTAAATTAACAAAAAGAACAATAAATAATGGCTTAGGATTCAAACATTGTCTTTTATAAAAACAATAGATTTGTGGTCCCTAAATTGCACTTGTAGTTTCTGTGCCTTTGCTTCAAAAAAATATTTCAAATTTCTTAACCAAGCTGTTGTTTTCTAGTTGGTAATCATTTTTAATACTACATAATTATGTCCAGTAATTGAATTTTCTAACATCTAACCTATTGGTATTTCTCTGATTGATGTGAAGAACATATTTCAGCATGCCTAGAGGTTTTTAATTTATTTTAATTATTTATTTATTAGTGATGAAATATTTAAAGTCAGACATTTCTTTTTTTTAAGGGGGGTGTACATTTGTTTCCAGATACAAAAGAATAATTGACTACAAGAAATCAAGGTCTCTCCATAAGTAATTAGCAGCAATAATTACTACTTGTGTGGAGGTGGTGATGAATTGATTTGGTTCAATGAATACATTGCTTGTCTAGGAAAGAAAAAAATTGTGTTAAATTATTGATCAATTTTTTAACTGAATAATTTTTGTTTATTGTGTAGAAAAGCTGTTGAGGATTTGTAGTCAGAAATGAGTAAAAACATTATTTTAGATGAGAATTGTATAAATTTTACTTCATTTTCCTTTGAGGCATGTTTTACAATCTTGTAGTTGGGTTAAGGTGAGAAATCAGGAAACCAGAGCAAGAATTCAAAGAAACGGCACCTTGTTACAACACTAGCTGAAGTGGTCTGTTTGTTTTTGTACAAAATAGCCAGTTTAAAGAATTCAAAAGAATGACTGCCACCAAAAAGTTATTTCTGGAAATTGTTCTTTACTTTGAATTAACTCTTTCTGACTTCTGAAGACAGTTTAACCAGATTTCAAAACCTTGCTTTCAGCTGCCGAACCTCCAAATGGCCCTGCTGTTGGCCTTGTATCTCCAATAGATTCTCTGGAGTGTAATCCTGGACCCATTGTCGCCTCCACAAGTCCTCCAGCTAGTAATCAGGTTCAAGCATCTGGAGGTGTTGCAGGAGAAACTGGATACCCTTCCGAAAATGCATCGGTGCAGATGCTATCTGTGCCACCACCTGCATCATCAGTACCCCCATCCACTCAACCCGTCATGACGAGCATGTACCAAGTGATGGGCCACACGGGCATGCCCCTCTCCAATGTATATGTAGGCAACGTCACTGCAAATGTGAATGTTCATAGTTTTGTTGGGCCTCCTCTAACACCGTATTCTCCTCACATTTCCCAACAAGTTTACCCAACCGGTGAAGTCTCAGTGCCTCACGAGACTTCAGGTTCCCCAAACGCAACTAGAAACGGCTTGGGTCCGAGACGGCCACGAAACAGCAAGCCTGGCAGCAAGAGGATGGAGGGCCAGTTCGGACCCAGGACACCAGGCGTGGGACACGGTCATGAAGTTCTTCCTGCCATGGTGGAATCACCCACAGGTCCACCTTTTGCCCAAATGGTGATGGTCCCTCCCATGCATCCTGCTTTTCATAATCCGCATTTCTATCAATCTCCCACTCAGCCTCATGGAACACCACATATGGCTCAACTCCCATCGGCCCAGCATGCCACCGGAGCCCCCTTCATTGTGCCTTTGATCCACCCTGTGTATAATGCTTTCCCTCCGCCTGCAGTGTATCCTGCTAGCCCCAACATGGTTCCTACACCTGTGGCTACTACGGAACATTCTAGTGGAATAACGTATCAAGTTAATGAAGGACCTACAGAGAGAATGATGCCCGAAGGCAGAGAAACCGAAGTTACTGTTCATGAACAACAGAATTTGTATGAAAATGAAAACCCTCAGTTAAAGAATTCTATTAACGGAGAAGAGAAAATGTCCAGTTATGTACATCAGGACAGTGACACTGAATCATGTACTTTAGCAAGCACAGTTGTTGTAAATAATAGCAACATGGCTACCAGTACTGTTGTAAATGAGGAATATAATAAAGAAATTTCTAATTCCAATGAACTTCCCCTCAAAATGGATAAAGATGTTGGTAATGAGTTAGTTAGCGGAAACTGTTCTGGTCCAGATAAAACGTTGCCTATTGAATGTAATACAGATATTGACATTTTGAAGGTTATTCCAAATGTAACCAAAAGCCCTGATGTTGAAATAATGACCAGCGTGGTAGAAAAGCAAGAAAATTCAGCGAGTGCCTTTCCTGTACCTCCGAAGATTTCACCAGCTGAGAAGCCTCTTTGCGATTTGAAACCTAATGGAATATCGTCTGTTCCTAAACAAGCTTCTGAGATTCCAAATGCAACTCCCAAGGCCACTTCTAACAGTAGTCCATTTACTCGGCCAACAGTTGCCGAAAACACTACTGTACAAACACCAGTTGCCAGTAATCGAGAAAAAACTTGGGCTAGTCTGTTCGATAAAAGCAGTGGGAGTGGTCTTCCATCTGACGGTGCCATGATTATTGCCACAGGCATAGCACCTGGCACTGCAGCTTCAAAACCTTTGGCTGCTGTGCGACCTTTTCAAAATGCTGTTACTGTGTCAGGAGCTGGTGACATGACTCGTAAAACATCAGATGCTGCTTCTGTAACTGGAGATGCATCAAAGCACTTTCCTCAGCTCGGGCAGTCAGATCTTCCTGCGCCAAGCATGGCAAACGATCCTCATCTTTACAGATTAGGAGGTGAGTTCTCTTATAATATTGTATGTACCATTTGGTGGGCATATTCCTCCTTAATGATTTACTTTGTTTTTGGTTTAGAGTTCCTGTCAAAATACCAGCTGGATCACAAAGCTATTAGCTTGCAGCCCCGTGGTTTGACCAATAGAAGTAATTGGTGTTATATTAATTCAACATTACAAGCATTGCTTGCTTGTCCACCTTTTTATAATCTGATGAAGTCTTTGTCTATGCCACTACGAAGGAGTGGCAAATCATCCACTCCAATAATAGATAGCATGTGAGTATTTTGTTTTCTGTATTGTAATTGAGACTTCAGTTTTGAAAATAATAGTAATTGAATGAAGTAAATTATTTTTTTCTATTCTTTAATAAATGAGTTATTTTAAAAGGAGAAGAAGGGGGACTTGCTAATGTTTAGTGGGATTATTAAGTCTTCTACCATAAGAATGTAATAAATAACAAAAAGATTGATGTTATATATATATATTATATATATATATAAATTTTGGAAAAAATCTGCAGAACAGTTTAGCTGCTAGTGTTGTTTACAGACAGGCAAAACGTTTTGCCATCAATTTTCTGTATCTGTATCAAGGACCCACAAAAAGGGATTCGAGCTCCACCTCAATTTTTTTTTTTTTTTTTTTTTTTTTTTTTTTTCCCTCCTTCTCCTTTCTTTTTTTTCTTTTTTTTTCCTTCAAATTTAGCAATTTAACCACATTTTTGTTACCAGGGCCATGTAATAGGCTTTTCTGCCGAAAATTTTTAGTATTTTTGTGCAGTATTACATCATTTATTTCTTAAGAAGTTCCTTCTTAACTGCAAGAAAATAAAAATTAGTGGTGCTACAGAATGGCACGGAATTTTCTCACAGTAAAGTTCTCTAATTTCCTTGGTGGGGACTAGTTTTAGGGTCTTGTGATTGCCATCTATTGCCGCCCTACATATATTTTCTTGAAAATTTTCAGTTCCCAATGGAAGACTCGAAATACATTTTTAAAATATTAAAAAGGAGTAAAACCACGTCTTATAAGGAAATTTTCATTGAAATATTTGAAGAGTTTTTAAGAAAAGTTGTCTGAGCTCTAGTGTAAATGCAAAATTTGAAGCTTCTATTCTCAGGAATCTTTTGTTATAGAGAAACATCATTTGAAGAACATTCACTCCCAAATTCAATAATGTACACAAATTGCTGGAAATATCCACTTCAACGGCATCAGATATTTTAAAGAAATTACATTTGTGTACTTTTTGGAGGGGGGGGGGGAACAAAAGAATACAGCAAATTAATTCTTCTCTTCAAATTAATTCTTAACATCTTCATATCTTAAACAGTTCAATAAGCACTAACCGAATGAAAAGAATGAATAAAAATTTTGAGAAAATGGTGTTTGAGCATTTCTGAAAATGTGGAATTTTGATGGTTTTCATAGAAAACTATTGAGTGTTCAAGAAACTATTCGACATCATTTAAAGCATATGCATTCGTAAAAACAATAATTTGAAGAAATCAACCACTAATGTAAATATTACCGACATGAGAGGCACGTCAAGAAAATGACAGTTTGTATTTTTTCGAAAAACAAAAGATAGAGCAAAATGATGTGTATGTCATCGTATAGAGCATATTACATGTCCTATGGCTTCATGTAAAGTACCCCCAAATTTTAAAGAATGCTTTTCGAAATCTTAAAGCTTCGACTGGAGTCAGATAGGAAAGGGTTTCTCCAATTTGGAAAAAATCTGTGTGTGGTTTAGGCTTTAGTGGGTGTGCGGGAAATACACTTTTTTGGTATCGAGGAACCCCCAAAACCTGTATTTCCGTCAAAATAACCAAATCCATTGCCCGCAGTAGTTCATAACTTTTCCTGTACTACGTATATTACATGTATGTGTGTATACAGGAAAGTAAAATACAAACTAGTTATGCTATAGAATAACGACTTACCCATATTAGGTTTCTATTTCCTTTGGATTCAACACCTACTCTTCCCAGCTGCCATCTATCGCCACCCAAAAAACTTTTTTTTGTAAATTTTCTTAATAGAAGACTGGAAATATTATTTTAATTATGTTAAAGAATAGAAAAAGTTCATCCTAATGCCAATTTTCTTTTAAAAATTTTGAGCCATTTTTAAGAAAAGGGCGTTTAAGCTTTTCTGTTCACAGTTGAACATTCACTAAACAAAACCTCAACATGTTTTTCTGAATGTTCTTAAATGAATAACATACTAAAATTGTTCTAGGTTAGATTATAATTATACAAATGCACTTAGCCTTCTTTTTTATATACGAGTTTTGGACCTAACCCTTTTTTCGGTGTAGGGCAAGGCACATACCGCTATTCTTAATGCTTAGAGGAAAAATATTATTTTCATAAAGATAAAAATTAAATGGTTAATTAAAGTTTGTTAAGTCTTAGTTATTGGATAAGTATTAGACACCAATTAAGACAGGAATAAAATTGGAAATGAAAAAATTAGTTTTTTTGCTTTTTACTCAAAACTTTCATTGTGACATAGCGTTGATTTTATTTTTAGTCAACAATTTATAAAGAATTTATTTCATGTTTTATAAACTGGGAACAATTTACATAATCAGCTAAGATGTAAAACATCCAAAATGTATATTTAAAAAATTTCAGTGAAAGAATAGAGAGAGAAATACCTGAAGAGTGAATTATGTTAAAGTATAATAATAAAGTTGTATTAGTTTTGTATTTTAGTTCTTTTTGAAAGGCGAATTTACTTGAACTGTAGCCATGAAATATAACATTTCATATCATCGAAATGGCCTGTGAAACCAGCAAAACATTAAATACAGGTTTTTTATTGTGTGTTCTTTACTCCTCTCTTTTAACTATCTAAATCCCAAAAACAGCACTGTTTTATGTACAGGGTGTCTACGGAGCATTCCTGTAATTGAAGAGACTTACAATTCATCTAAAATGTTTTTATTATTTATTTACAGGGTGGAATTTGTGAATGAATTTAGTCCCCTTTCACCTGTGTCACGTGTCAATCGCAAGGAGAAGGCTCAACGTAAAGATGATACCATTGAAGTTCAGGTGGGGGCTGCTTTTGAGCCCAATTACATTTACAAAATGTTGAGTAACATTCAGAGTGACACATTTAAAGTGGAGGGCAGGCAGGAGGATGCTGAGGAGTTCTTTAGTTGCTTGCTTAATGCTTTAAATGATGAAATGCTGGAGGTATGTATAGTAGGTCATGATGTTAATGGTTATCTGTCAATCCCTGCCATTAGTGTTGATAGGCTAAACAAAACTAATAAGAATTTGGTTCAAGTTTTCAAAGCTTATTGAGGAATTATTTGTTTCTCGTTATCTGTTGGAAGACATGCATATACAATGGCAGGATTTTTTGTTTGATAAATTAATTCCTGTTTTTGGTTTGTTTTGAAGCGCTCAATTTGTTTAAGGCCTTAAGATACAGAGCTTAAAAATAGCTATAAAAAAAAAAAAAAAAAAGAATGGGTTGAATTTTGTAATAGTGGTATACTTTTTTCCAAAATGTCTTATTGATACATTTTTAATTTACTAGTTATTTGGAAAATATTTTTGTTTATTATCCAAACTTAAATTATAACACTCTTAAGTGATTTCATCCTTTCCCATTCCAGATAGTTTAATAATGAAAGATAGCCTGCAGCGTGAATTTGTAAATACTTCTTAATATGAAATCAACATTTTTTTAATTTCAAGCTCATTAAAATATTTAAATGTATATACACTAACATACCTAAACTTGAGTCTATTCAATACAAATTCTTTAGCCTGGAAGCTATATACCATCACCTATCATCTCATGTTAATTATGCTCATATTGCTAGCTCAAAAAATATTGCATACTGAGTTTTCAGTTTCATTGATTTTGTGGTTTTGTACAAACTATTATGTAACCACATAGATAATCCAAAATTAGTTTCTGTTATTAATTGGACAGTCCCAAACCTATTTACAAAACACAATAAAAAAATCTAATATTTTTATTCCTACTACTAAGCCTAATATGGGTCACAATGTGCAATTGTCGGCAGGAAAGTATATTTTTTAAAATTCCATTAACCAATATTAAGGCAGAGGGGAAAAAAATCTGATTTCTTTTAATTTGATCTTATTGTTTTCAAATATTTGTATGCTATTTTGTATCCAGAAGCTCAAAAAATTTTCTGGAATTGGAGAATTATTCCAATTATTCTCATTTACATACTTCCTTATTGTTGTCATTGTATTATTTTGTATTGAGTTCTTGTTTATCTTGGCCATTTAAAAATGTGCTATAATTATATACTTGTGTATCTACGTGGATATTGGGCTATTGTCTGTTCAAATAAATGGAATGTACTGTAACTTTTATTGCAGCTTATTAAATTGGTCAAAGATACATCAGACAGTAATATCAGTAATGGTGATGTCTCAAATGGAGATGGTGCCAATCAGAGCTATGAAGATGATGATGATACAGAATGGAAGGTAAGTGTTGACATTAAAGTTCATGGTAATAGAAATTGGATGAAAACTCACATTTGTGATGAATATTTGTGCAGGTAATGGGAAAGAAAAACAAAGGTTCTGTAACTAGACGTGCTGAATTTGAAAGGACACCTGTGTCCGATATATTTCGCGGTCAATTGAGGTCTCGTGTCCAACGTGCTGGTGATTATTCAGATAATGTGCAGCCTTTCTTCACATTGCAGCTTGATATTGAGGTAAGTATTGATTTTCTTGAGTACATTGTGTTGCAGTTTGTTCTATTTGAACAATTTCTTTTAATTGGCTGCTATTTTCTGAGAAGTTCATTCTGGTTAGGTGCCATGTCACCTGGTAGCCTATCTGCTGCTGCCTAAAGTTTACTTTAATGTGTACATCATTGGTAAACCATATTTTTCCTTTTTCCTGTGCATAAAATGAAGGTGGTGTTCAAATGCTGTTAGAAAAGTGCCAAATTCTTCCTCGGAAGGGGGGAGAGTCCTGGGCAATATGGCAACCATGCTCCTCCTCCGCCCCCTCCCCCCGCACCAATGACCAACATTGTTTGTTGCCTCTGCAGAATGAGTGTTTGGAGGAGAATTCTAGTGGTCAGCTGCTTTTATTGATAGTTTTCCGTGCTTTCTCCAATCAGTACTGGGGAAATCCCAGAACAAAATCCTAACATATGAGCCATGGGCCATGTTGATGGTTTCCTGGCAACTATGTACATAAAGGTACATTTAAAGAAGTTTTAGTGCTTAGTAAATAGGATTTGGTGTATTATGAATAGATTGAATGACTTGCCTCGAAAGGCAGAATCTAGTAAGTGTGGGAATGAAATGCACCATTACAAAAAATATTTACTCAGGGAAACAGAGACTTGTTTCAATTTTCATCTACTGAAGATGTTTCTGAAAATGTTCAGGGAGATTTAATAATTTCATCTTCTCCACAAAGAGTATCACGCATTAAAACAAGAGAACAAACACGTAAAGATTGTTACATTCTTTTCAACTGTAACTTTACTCACACATCAGGCTTAAATTCTATTATCAGTGCTCCAAAAATGGTAAAGGCTGGTGCAATTCAACATTAATAATAATAATATAATTTTTATAATATTTATTGAGTCACATATATACAATTACAATCGTGTATGACGAGTCAATATGATGCCTTGGG